AAGTTGTGTTCGTTAACCAATTTTTCAAAGGGCGATTGACGTGATAATCCATAGAAGTATCTGTTGGTGAATAGGGCGACCGCAGAAGCAGATTCCATTCCATTTTTCGGCTTTGCCTGACTGTTCCATCGCCGAGAATTTCGTTGAGATCACGTTATGAGTGTGCTGCCTCCCAACATTTCTCGAAGTAATAGGACATAATTTGGCATATATGAAGATGACTTTCCAGATATATTTCTGTAAAGGAAAGCGAGGAGATTATTTCTGCAAAAATCCCAAATTCAAAAGTTCAATTTTGCCGAGAGAAAAGAAGCCGCGAAAAAATCCGCAATAATTATGCATCGACCTAGTAATTTAACGCGCAACGTTTTTCCACACCGCATAGTTGCATGTTAGAAGGAACATAGGACTTCTCATAAGCTCGCACCGAATAATCGTTCTCGTTGCAGGATCTCACGTCGATGGTATAAAATGAGCCGACAAGACGCTTTGTGGCGAAAGACGGAATTTTCCGGCGATTCGCGCTTGAATCTTCGCCAACTCACTGCCTTCGTGAAATCGCCATTGGCAACAAAAGTTGTGCATCTCAGGTAGGTTTGAATATCGACCTACTTTGTATCTTTCCCTCGAATACTCTCACGTGAGACTTAATGCGATGTCGGGGTAGCTGCTTTTGCCAGAGAACAAGATTTTTTTCGTGACGAGTATATCAACCTAACAGAAAATTTTTATTTTAGATTTAAATTTTAAACATTTTTTAGATTATGGTCTCAGTAAAATAATAAATTTTGAACTGGTTCAGTAAAATGGCAGTAAAATGGTAATTTTTTTTAATATTTATTTTCCTCTACTCGCTCCTTTTTTCTGTTAGGTTGGTCCCCGCAGAAAATTAGTTTTCAATTTAAAAACTCACAGGCCTCGAATGAAGATATCAGGGTAGTGGGGCCTGGTAGACTGTTTCAAAAGCTTACATACATAAGGGTGGGACATCATTTTTAACGTAACTGCCATTTTACTAAACCAGTTCAAAATTTATTATTTTATGGAGACTATAATCTAAAAATTTGCCTTCAGTATAGAGGGGTATGTTGTCCGATCTGCAAGAACATATTCTTGTTCGACCGTCACTAACCACGTATTGACGTTGATGGGCAGAAAAATGGAGAAGTTACGATCTCTCACTATTGAGAATGCCAATATAAGCAATATTGCCTTCAAATGTATCCCAAAAACGTAAGTTTTACTTATGCTGTTATTGTTTTTAAAATCGGTGATTTGGGGCAGCAAAGTAAATATTAGAGTTTTTCCTGATTTGTAACTACATCATCCGATCGCCTATTTCTATTACAGATCTTGATGTAATTACCCCATCACAAATGTGAAATGCGATTTGCCGTAGTTCAAATCCTCAAATTGTTTCGTATTGGGGTTGTTTCTGATAATCTAATTCCCCCTTCTATCTGCGCCGGTTTTGTTGCATTACGAAAAAAAAGCAGCAAGAGGATCGTGGATGTCTATTTGCTCTATGAGCTCCTCCATCGGAAAGAAGAACCTGTTGTAAGCCTGATTGTTCCTGAGTGAAATCCAAGGAGGTTGCAGTTCTACTTGCAATCGGAACTAAGCTTTTTTCGACCAAACAGCGTCCCTTATGCCATGGGGTCACAAATTCTTTCCACGGAAAAATCTTAGAAATCATTTTCGTCGTGAATCGTTTCTAGGAGAAGAGAATATGCAAAAAATTGGTTTTGAACTTGAGTGCGACCTCATAAGAAAAATCAACGTAAAGGCGCATAGAAGCGGTTCCTTCATATGAAATACCTAGATATAAGGCTATAACAACCTATCCTCTATTTTTCCTAAAAATGTGTTAAGGATCGAGCGGCTTTGTTTGAGCGGGTCTATAATCGGGTACTGTGCTATGGACGATCTAGCTCATCCTTCAACTTTGCCTCGTTTACGTTATCTGAATCTTGATTATGTGCATAATCTTTCAAGCAATTCGAAAAGCTTTCAATATATTTTACGAAGAAAGGTTGGTAAGCCTTCAGTAGCTCTTGCTGCTATATAATTGCTCAATGGATCTATTTCAGGATATAATTAATCTAGAAGTTCGACACTGTAACGGGTTATCAAATATGGATCTTATGAGGATCTCAGATTGTCTAGTCAACTTGCGAGTACTAAATTTGTCGGAAATCAAATTTCTAAATGACACAGTGATGCGATCAATAGCTTCATTAAAATGGTAAGAATAATGGATTATACTCTTCCCGCTTATCAGTTCGTTTTCAGTTTGGTTGAATTGTTCGTAGCGTTCACTGCTGTATCGGATGAAGGCATCAGCAGTCTAGCTCAGACGGATTCACAACTTCATCTACTCGACATTCGTGGATGTCCTCGTATCACTGGACAGGGTCTGATTACGGCATCCGACATTAAGAGGTGTGTTTTCATGAAATCGCGAATTCTAGCGCTTACGATTTCAGCTTTGACAATTTGGAACTTTCATTGTAGCCTTCGAGAAATTTGGATATTACGGTTTATGGAAGGCTGCGATGCGGCAAGATTATCGCTTAGAGATTGTAATCCACACTTGATGATCCTGGATGAGGTGCGAACGTTTGAAAAAAATATTGTTAACTGTCTGTGAAGGAGAATACTGAATTTAGTTAACCAAGTTTCAGGTGGATCGTCAAAAGATGGCTGTCCCACAACACATGGATTTCTATAGCATATATTTCACGAATGTCTTCGGGAATCCTCCCAGTGAAGAAGTGGAAGTTGACATGCGATGAAAAGGAACTTTGCCCTCCCATATTCTGAACTGATTCGAGTTCTATGGATACCTCGCCATGTATATATTGATAAATTTGTCAGAATTTGTGTAATTTAAGATGTACATTTATGCAAACGGCGCTTTCGCCTTTACAATTTGCCCTTTTGCCCACATTGCCTGTTGTGTGACGAAACATGGATCTGTCTGTGAATTTGATGGGGGGGTGGTCAGTGGCGAGCGTCGTACACTATCAGACGCACGGTTCGAAGNCGAAACATGGATCTGTCTGTGAATTTGATGGGGGGTGGTCAGTGGCGAGCGTCGTGCACTATCAGACGCACGGTTCGAAGATTGAATCCCGGATAGGTGTATGCTATATGCTCGAACAAGCCTCCATCCCTCCGGGATCATTAGATTGCAGTGGCCAGCTGATGTAGAAATCAGTGCTTTTGCCCCATTCTCAAACTCGTCTGTAAGGGCAAAAACATCAGTACATCGTCTGTCCACCGCGATTTATTGTAAAGGACTCATACGCATTCAAAACGCCATTGCCATTCTGAATCTTAGTTGAATGCAAGGCGCATCCCTGAAACGGGACCAAATATCACTATGAAGTACCCGCTATCCTGACAGGTTGGCGGTCGGGTAGAAGTGACTATAATCGAAAGTGCCTTCTTTCACATTAAAAATAGTCCCTTGTATGTTATGTTATGTTTATTACGCTGCTAAGGCTCACGTAGTATAAAAGGATATCAACCTCCTGGAACAAACTTAAATAACGGAATNGAAGGAACTATGAAAGCTCATACACAGATAAAATTACTGCCACAGAGCGTTTGAAATTTGTCAAGATCCGGAGTGTTCATGTCTTTTGTTACCTTTTTGTAGAGGCCAGCCGCTCTGAATGTGAAACTTCTAGCTCTTACACTGGTTCTGGGCCTAGGGAGATTTATTTTGGTCTGACCGCCTCTGGTTCGGGAGTGAGCCATATTATAAAATCAAAAGAACCAAATGTATTACTTTGGTACAGTAGCTTGTAAACCATGCGTACGTCGAATACCTTGCGCCGTGATTCCAAAGTAGAGAGTTCAAAGTATTTGTTGCGAATAGATGCTTTAGTAATCCTATCATAGAAGAAATTTCTGCATCGGCAAAGGATTTTACGCGTAAAATTGTTTTGAACCTTCTCAAGTGCTTCAACATCCCTTCTCTTATGAGGGTCGAATACAGCAGCACCACTCTCAACCAAAGGCCGAACATAGGCCATGTTGTCAGCACTGCGTAAGGGTGGGCTGTGAACGGGGTGTTATTGCATAGAAGATCAACTGAGTTGCAAAGGGTAGCTTACGCTGATAAGCAAGAATTAGGAATCTGAAAGAATGTTCCTGCGACTGCCGGTTTTGTGACACGTTTGACGATTTGCAATTTGATTAACCACGGTCCAGCCTGTATGATGAGCTGAGGTGACATTTGGTAAAACATTTGGTAAAATGGCATTGGCTCCGTAGTGTCGTGTCACTTTAAGAAAGCATAGGTATTTGAATCTTTTATTCAATGCTTTTCATGAACTCAGGTTTTTATTTCACCTCATGTGAGTTATCACCTATAATTCTGTAGAGACAATTTCTAACAATGTGGGTCTTTTGCTTCCTCATATCCGCGCAATTGTATACATTATTTGGTCCCAGGATTTGGTAACAAATGTGCAGATTGGGACTTAAATTCTCGAGTTTTGCTTTTTTGCGTTCTTCTGAGTTGTTTCTAAGACCGTTGAAGGGTCTCGGAGACGCGCCTAACAGGAGACGTGGCAAGTAACTATGCAACGAAGATAAGAGAGTTCCAAGAATGTGATTGAAGACGCCTTAGCTTTAGGTGATGAGTAATCAATTCTTGTTTTGAGTGAAGAGATTTGAAGGAAGATGGGCTCATCATTAACACCATTAGCATAACGAGTAGTGGTAATTCTTACACTCGGCCTTTCCACTTACAATTGTGATGACAAACTTCACATGCGGGTGCTTTGTTACAAGTATGATTTAATCATCACTATCATAATCAGGCTTAGCTTTGGAAAACCATTGCTGCTAAAAGAAGCTTCCCTACCTGTACCTACTTCAAACAACACTTTATATATACAGTAGGATGTCCCTGAAAGGAAAGACTACAAGCTGTATGAACAAGGTTGCGTTTGTAGGTTTCATGAGAGATTCCTTTGTGAAATATAATTTCGACGTGAAATTCTAACACTGTGGTCATTGAGAGCAACGTTGTGATAAAACCTGCTCGAGTATAGTTTTTCAGATCTTATTTCTTCCACGAAGCAAACCTTTTTTCATTGGAATATCTCAATCAGAGTCGAACTTTCGCAAGAATACAGAATGTAATATGAGAACAGAATGTCAAATGAAATACCGAATATCAAGGCAAAGAATCGCTGCAGTCCGAATGATAGACACAAGGTCATTTAGTGGTATTACCAGTAATTTACTTAGCGGCGAGGTGTACATGGTCGTGAAATTTGTTCTCAGCGATCGCAGCCGTTCTGAGGTAATTCTATCGGAGAGGACCAATATTGCCGCGGAACAAGAAAACATTCTTGTCAGCTTTTCTACACTTGGGAAACCTACAGCAGTAGAATTTCATCGAGGCGCAACTTCACTCGGATATTGGGAATATACAACCACCCACGCTTCTCCATCCCCCGGATATGTCGGCTCAGCTACAAACATTAGTGACATTTTGCATTCAAATTTTCATCAAACTCGGCAATCACTAACTTACCTTCTTCCGATGGTCGGAGATGGTGAAATAAAACAGCTGCAGTCACGGATTCAAAGAGCGTAACCACACCATTCCATCGTCGAGACATCGAAGCAGCTATGGACTGAATTTTGATTTCATGTATAATTTTCACTAAAGAGAACCACAGGGGTTCGGCTTGTCCTAACAACTGAATGTCGCTGAATGAAGACATCGATACATCTTCCATCTTCAGCTACAGAACGGGATAGCTCAGATTCAGGAAAAATCTGATGCAGGGCGGTCGAACAAGAATATGTTCTTGCAGATCGGACAACATACCCCTCGCTATGGCAATGCAATTTATTTGAACATATAAGCAGATGGTGAGGTAAAATCGAAGCGACAGTCTATAAATAGGGAACTGGTTGGAGAAATGTATCATTTCCAAATGTTGTTCCTGCTCTCAATAGTGGCTCTTCTCGTGACGAGCTCCTCCGCTAAGGGTAAGTACTAGAAATTAGGGCTAAATACACAAATCTCTATACATAAAAGTAAACTCTCGTCATGTCCTACAAAGATATCTAAATTTTTCTCGGGGAACTCTTCTTCAGAATCGGAAACTCTCCTACCGGAAGAGGAAAAAGAAACCTTCAAGACAATCAACAGCATGTACACCAATGGCCTGGTTAGTTACTTCAACAGATTTTAATGACACCTAGCACTAATGTATAATGTACAATTGATAGGTTTGGAGTGATGAGTGGGCAGAAAAGGCCTTGGAATGGTTGAAGTCACCAGACAGCCGCGACAGTATAAATGCTGATATGACCGTCGGAGGAAGACGGTTAGTTCGTGCATGATGGCAGCTCCTTTTATTCTTACTAAATACTTTTTTCAGGCTACTCGTGAATATGGATGATAAGGCTTTGTGGCAAAAAATACTGGAAGTGTTAGAAATGCATTTTGATCAGAAGGAAGAAGAAGTAAGTTGATGGTGCTGAGGCTTCCAAGTCATGATTGTAATGGAACTTTAACTTTCGCATCGTACCCGAGAAGAGGACTGTGTTTGATTTTTTGCTTTTGAAGAAAAATGCTTTAAGAGAAGTATATCATGATAGGGTGATTGTAATGAACAATAATCGCATCAGTTCTGCACTCGACTGTGGCTTTCGCATTATGAGCAGTCAGAGTAAAACTAATGTGGCCACCTAAAGTTGTTTTGAAACAACTCCAACATCTATACAATTCTGTTAAGAAGTGAAAATCTCTGTTCAGCTTGAACGTCTTCCCGCAGGCACTGTCTACGGATG